ATGATCTATGAGGTACAACTTGAAAAATTAATGGTTCATATCATTGAAGTTTGATGTCGTTTGAACCCACAACTAATCCTTATTTTAAAATAAAATGTGATCCTTTCTCTTAAAGACTTTGTGTATGTTATGAAAAAAATAACTTAAATCTTCTCTTTTTTCACTAGAAGTTTGATGGTGTTTGTGAGGACTTACGTGAAACAAATTTATCGTCACACAACTTTTCAATTCAATAAGGTATTAACTAGTATATGCCCACACACACAAAAAGAGCGTGTGAAATGTTTTATTTTTGTTTTCAAAATTGAAGGAGAGAGGAATAGAGAGAGAAAGAAGGGAGTGGGGAGAGAAGGAGATAATTTTTTTATTTATTTAAAAAATAAGGAATATTAAAATCACCTGTAGATGGTGCTTAAACAAAAAACAGCAAAATTTTGTGTTGTGTAATTAAGTTACTGCCTTTAATTTTTTTGTTGTGATATAAGACTAAATAGTCTTTTTATCATTTTGTAGTTGACAAAAATATTTTATTAATACATAACTAGCATATGGGCACACACAAAGTGTGTGAGAAAACTTTTTATTTTTGTTTTTGAAATATAAGGAGAGAGGAAGATAGTGATAGAGAATGTGGGAATTGGGAAGTTTTTTTATTTTTTTTTATTTTTTTTAATTAGATATATGATAGGATTACATGTAGGTAAGGTTTTGAAAAAAAAAAGCAAAATTTGATTGTGTGAAATTACATTTCTACCCCATATTTCTTATTCATGTTTTGTTTAATTACAAGGTTAAATTAGTAATTTCATAGAATTTTAATTGACAATTAATGTTTTATTAATTAGTAGAGATTTAGATAAAGATAAGTTTTTTTTATTTTTTTATCTTTTCATATAACAAGACATTATTAGAACGAAGCACTACGATAATAATAAAAAGTGAATTTCTTTTATATAAATAGTTCTCGTGTGCTCGTGGCACATGCGTTACGGCTCGTGGCATGATGTTGTGGACCAAAACAATAAAACGACTTGAGCAACAGACAACACGCAAGCCAAGGGCTCAACTGTTTACTCCAAATGGGGATCCTTCAATTATTTGGTGACCCAGATCCCTGTTTTTGCGGTCAATTGGCATTATTTATGTGCAGACAAATTGCTCTACCATTTGGCTGGCTGGAGCCTAACATATTAATGGAGATAATGATATGGCTGGTAATTCACACTCAAACAAATTATGACAATGTCAATTAACATCATGTTGTTGTTTTATTTGTTGTCTTTTTATTTGCTAATATATTGTGAAGCTCCACTTGAATAAATGGTCGTCACAGTGATATGGTAGTTGAAAGATAATTTTTGTTACAAAAAAATCGAATATAAATCTAGGGGTGGGCACGGTGCGGTTCGGTGCGGTTCCACCCCTAAAATGGAACCGGAACCGAAAAATATCAACGGTTCGGTTCGGTGCGGTTCCGTTTAAATTTATTACTAGAACCGTACGGTTCGGTTTACACCGGTTCCGATTCGGTTCTTGCCGGTTTACGGTTCCAAATACTAAATTATTTGAACACCACATCATCATGCATTCAAATACATCTTTGAAAATTGATTATATAAAGTTGCATACAACACATCTTTTTTAATGCAAATGTCTTTGGTAGTGGACCAAGTCAATAAAAAGAGACAATACATTGGCTGCCAATGTATTGTTTGAACTAAGAAGGGCATTTTTTTAATTGTTTTTCTAAAGTTGACAGACAATTGTGGATGTCTAAGTAAAAAATCACTATCCAGCAATTGGCAAATGAAGAAAAGTGTGCCATGCTATTGTATGAATTGAGTGATAGGCCCTGCAGGTATAGAAAATAAGTATGAGTCCAAATTAACAAACATCTTGAATGTGAGAACTGTTTTTGGAAGACTAATAACATTTTATGACACTTAGAAGCGTTTCTGATTAAATTTGGCAGAAAACTTTAAAATACATTTGACTCATAGAAGTACTTTATAAAAAATAGGTACTTATTCAAGAAACACTTCCAAGTAATTATAAAAGTTGCATACAACACATCATCATGCATTCAAATACATCTTCAAAAACTGATTATATAAAGTTGCATACAACACATCTTTTTTAATGCAAATGTCTTTGGTAGTGGACCAAGTCAATAAAAAGAGACAACTAATAGAAACATGCATTGGTCAGTTAGTCAACAAACAAAAAATGAAGAACTCAAGTAGCACTAGTCTCCTAAAATTGGTCTCCTGGTATTGGCATGTGTGTATATATATAATTAAATTATTTATTATTAATAAAACGGTTCGGTTCGGTTCCGGCCGGTTCTTGGTCATTCGAAACCGGAACCGGAACCGGTTTGAACGGTCCGGTTCGGTTTTTGGCTCAAAGTTGACTTTTCCGGTCAACACGGTTTTTTTTCATACGGTTCGATGCGGTTTTGCGGTTTGACGGTTTTTATGCCCACCCCTATATAAATCTTTGTGGTGAAATATGTTAGAATTTAAATCCAAGAAACAGATGCTAACGGCTAAAGAGAAACACGAGAAAAAAGAATTCATCTCTTTGTACATCTTTACTATATTTTTGCTCTGAAATTTGAAGTTTCATTTATGAAAAAAAACAGAAAAACAAATTCGATGATCCAAAGTCTCTCAATTTCACTTAGCAACCAAATTTGGTGTAAATTATTGTACTATAATACTTTTTGTTGCAGCTGTGGATTTTCACGTGCCATTTGATTAGAATCTTTAAAAAAATCTGTGCCCATGGCCACTTGATATAACGATAGTAGCTACCACGTTGTTGTAATTGCTTTTAGAAATCAAATATCATAAACTGTACTAATTGCGACTCCAAAGTTGTTGCTTGTTCTACATCGAAAAGAAAATTTTGAATGAGTGATTGAAATAGTGTTGGATATCTTTGGTTGTCAATTGATTTTAGGTCGGATGTTTATTTTTTAATATTTTTATACACATTATTTGGGAAAGAAGTACCTGATAAATGTTTTAACCACTTGAGTTACAAACTCTTTTATCTCTATTGCTAATGAAATACTTTCAGTCACGTAGATAAATGCTAGGTAAACCATATTTTAGTAGACTACATTGTACAATATTTCTATTAGAGGCGGAACTGGTACACCCCAAATTACTTCTCCCACACATTTTTAAAATTTTAATATTTATTTATCAAGTGCTAGTGGTGTGTAGAAAATATTAAAAAATTAAAAAGTTGTGGGAGAAGTAATTTGGGGTGTGTGAATATAATCTCTCTTTTTCTATCACATTAGTAGAGCCTACTAGTACAAGTAGTGTCCACCTATTTTGAGAACAACTTATATGATACAAGTTCATAGTCCCTCAATATTAAAAAAAAAAAAAAAAAAAAAAAAAAAAAACCTCACTCCCACACGTTTTTTTTTCTCTCTCTCTCACTCTCCCTCTCTCCTTCTCATTTTCTAAAAAGCAAATGCTAGTATTAATTAAAGCAAACTTGAATCATTATTAAAGATGAAATGAACGGCTAAGAAGCAACATGAGGTGATCTATGGTTTAAGAAAAATAAAAAGAAAAATTAATAAAAAAAAGTTTGAAAACGTTATGTTTTAACGATAATGACAAAATAAAGGGTAAAGTGAATAATATCATGATTGATTTTTTAGTGTAAAAATATGACTTTCCGTTAAAGTAAACAATACCGGGAGCTTTTCGTTAAAGTTCACAAAATAAAAAAACACTGTTGTGTCAAGTGACGTTTCTTCTTGCATGACCACTCCTTTGAGCGGCATTTCCTCTTCTTTCTTTTTTTGGCTTCAGCGAAACTTTCACTCTCCTTATAAGTTCTTTCTTATAGCCTTACTCTATTTTTGAATTCCTCTTCAAATATGTTAATCCACATAAATTTAAAACAATTCGGCTGGACTGAATGTTAACTGCTACATAAGAATTAACATCTCTTTTGAAAATACGTTTTCGTTTTTATTTTGTTTTTCTTTCACATATTAAAGGAAAATTTGAATCTGTCCAGTACATAACAAATGAGTTTGGCGTTTTAGTAGTGAATGATTGACGAGGTAAACGAGTCAATTGTCAAGCAAATATTTGGGAAAAGGTTGAGTTTCGCCACTTCATCATCGAAAGCTCAGTCCAACAATCAAATACTTGGGAAGAGGTCCCGACTCCGCTAATTACAATCCTAATTGTGTTTTGCTTTCTTTCCTTGTCGTATCAACAACAACGACTAACACAAATATTATTATTTTATTCTCATATATCTACACATTATATTTTATTTCTCAGACTGGTAAATTTTGCAGGTTCATGGATCTTGATTCCATCTCATTATTAATAATACTATTTTGTTCGCATTTTCCATGCTGGTTATCCAATGCCTTCAATGATTATGATTTTTTGCAAGGACACGAATTTTTATAGTCTAGATGAACGGAAAGGGATCATTTTCGGATTCACTTTCTGGAGATCTTAGAGATCTTTACATTTTAACCGTTCATTATATATCGTGCAATTAGTTTTCGTCAGATACTATTTGTGTTTAATTTTAAATAAAAAAATCAAATAATTTCTGACCGCACGATACACGATGAATGGTTAAGATGTGAGAATCCTAGAGATCCCCCACAAGATGGATCCAAATGGGATCCGATTCTTAGATAACAATGTTCGTGTCATATATAGTAATATTTTAACTAATTGTGTTGTGTCAAACTCATTATATTAACAAGTTCTTAACACTTGATTTGATAATGGCCCGATTCGTCAATGAATTGTGTAGTTTCGTTATCGGGTTAACAAGTGTCGTGCATAATGTCGAGATCTGACAAAACGATATTCTAACAGTTTCTGTAACGGCACCAGTTAATGTGTTACACGATTACAATCTAACTTGTGATAAAAGAATTGATTCAAAATCTACTATTTTTCGTATTAAATTAACCGGTTATGCAAAAACTGGTTAAGCTTACCGTCATGTGGCTTCCCGTAACAATGAACTTGCAGCATATATGTCGGTCTCCGGTTGACGCATGCAATGATGTCAATCGCAAAGCAAGTAGCCAACTGCGACTCAAAACATGATTAGCAATCGATGATATTAATTCACTTTTCATCTTAAATATTAATACTGACGAGTACAAAAACCAAAAGTTCTACATCTCCTCCTCCTCCTGCTCCTCAGTCAGCTTCTGACAGAATCAACACAGATTCAGAGAGCCATTTTAAGGGTTTAGGGTTCGAAGCGATTGATCGTTCGAACCATGGCTGAGGAGTGCAGAGAGACGCTGCTGAAGAAGGTTTACTATGACGAGTGTCCCGGTTGTGTAATGGAACAGCGTAAAGAGCTGCAGAGAGGTCTTCCTATTAAAATGCTTGTTTCTGTATGGCTTATTGTTCTTTCAGCTGGTAAGAAAAGCACTTCAGTTTTTTCTTTTTGATTTTCTTTATCGTTTTTCTTGAACCGAATTCGAAAAGGGATTTCAAGTTCATCCTCATTGTGCTGCACTACAGTCTACAGTTCAATTTTCCTGTGAATGATGTGACGTGTATGTATGAATATATAACTCTGCAATTGATGTTGAGACTAAAAACTTGGAACGGAAATTCAGAAATATGATGTTAGAGGTTTAAGCTGTTATAAGTGCTTTTAGAATAAGCTACTATACCAGGAGATTATGAAATTAAAGAAAGACTTGTTGCTGCGTGTAAATTGGGTTGCTGATCCTATAGTTTGATTGCTTTGTTACACTCCAAATGATTAAACGTTTTTGTTAAGTAATGTTTATATCCGCACCGTCTTCATACTTTTTATTTATAAATGTTTAAACCCTGATCTATTGTTTGGTGATCGTTTTGCAGCGCTGCCAATATCATCTCTCTTTCCATTCCTTTATTTTATGGTGCGTGCATAATTATTAATTCTGTTGTTTCTTGTAATTTTTAAATTTTTGCAACCTTTAAAACCCGTTGAAGTCTACTCTTTTATCTCAAAATTCTAAATTATTGCTTGCAGATTAGGGATTTCCATATTGCTAAAAGAGAGGAAGACATTGGCTACTATGCTGGATATGTAGGTGAGTTGATGATTGTCACTACTTACCTTTCATTTCTTTCACCATTTCGTTCCTTAACAAGTGTCTTTACGAACTTTCTTACATTGTGAAGGGTCTTCATATATGCTTGGCAGAGTTCTGACGTCAATTCTTTGGGGAATGGTGGCTGATCGCTATGGTCGGAAGCCTGTCATAATTATAGGGACTGTTGCAGTGTTAGTAACTTCTGTTCTGCAATTGGGTTTCACTTTGATAATTTGGCAATAAGCACTGGCTCTTTTCTTCAACACTCTTCTCTGCGTATTTACAAATTATTTTTTACTTTTTACTGGCTCAGGGTTATTTTCAACACTCTATTTGGACTCAGTGTAAACTTTTGGATGGCTATTTCTACACGATTTCTTCTTGGAAGTTTGAATGGTTTACTTGGGCCGATTAAGGTACTATATTGTGTCATATATTAATGATGTCATTGCAAGTCTACAACCACGTATGTAATGTCTGGGTTACTTAGAATATATGATTTAACTGCATGACCAGGCATACGCAAGTGAAGCCTTCCGAGAAGAACACCAAGCTTTAGGCATGTCAACAGTAAGCCACATTGACCTCTCGATTCTGCAAGTTCTTATAATAAATATTCTACATCATCAACATTGAGAGTTATCATCTTTTTTCAGGTTAGTGTAGCCTGGGGTATTGGATTGATCATTGGCCCAGCCTTGGGAGGTTTCTTGGCCCAGGTAATTCTACTTATAGTACTTTCATGCTAGGAACCACACTTCAGAAAATCCCTCAGATGTGCGTGTATTTGTCGTGCTAATTGTTTAGTAAGACCATTCAATGGTACTTTTTGTGACTCTGTACATGTTAAATGATGGAAGAGATGTTTCGTTCATGTGTCTTTACCTAGACAATTTAATTTCTTTAAGCCTCTAAAAGGAACGATAACAGCAGATTGTGTTTTGGTAGATCCCATTCCAAATATGATACTTCGGACAAGTCAGAGAATGTTTCAACGTATGTTCTTTTGTGGGGTTTTCAAGTCTCAAGAACTGGATATGTTTAAGACTAAATGATCAACCGTCATCATAGCACTAGAGCAACCTCACATGAATAGTTATACAACCATTTTTTCACATACATGAATAATCTACATGGTTACGAAAGCTGTGCAACTTGCTGCAGTGAAAATCGTGGGGATCAGATCATTTAAGCGCACATGGTATCACTAACACTTGGGAATTAATTTTAAGGCTTAAAGCAAGCCTGAGGTATCACAGTGGTTCTGAATTAGTACTGGGGTTAGAGTGCAAGAAGGTTGGTTTTCGAAGGAATAGGCTAAATAGAGCAAATAATGGCTCACTGTCGGGTACACTTAGTGAAAATCATGGGTTAGCAGATGATTTTAGTAATTTTTAAGGCTGTTTCCTGCGAGTTTCAGGTTTTGGGATACCGAAATGGTCTTATCCTGCGCCAGCATGTCTATAATATGATGACTGTTCCGAGCTATTGGACACTAAAGAAGAATTTATTCTGTTTCTTTGTTATGTTTTCCTGGTTGATCTCTCTCTCTCTCTCTCTCTCTCTCTCTCTCTCTCTCTCTCGTTCGCTTGGCGTTTTGTCTTTTAGATTATAAATTGGATGTTCCTAACAAATTTTATGCAGCCAGCAGACAAATATCCAAGTATATTTTCCCAAAGCTCTATATTTGGGAGGTAAGTTTGGCTACTTATTTAAGTATACTGCAGTGGGATTGTCAAGTTTCAGCAGTTTTCTTATTATTTATTTGTTCCACAATGATGTTCCAAAACGTGAAATTCTTCTGCAGGTTTCCGTACTTCTTGCCTTGCCTATGTATATCGGTTTTTGCATTTGGAGTAACCATTGCTTCTTTCTGGCTTCCGGTACATATCTTAGTATATATTCCTTTATGTTGATGAATCTCTTTTACTTTTTCTCATTGTTGTTTTTGGCCTCCTATATTTTTTAGCTTATCACAGACATAACTTGCTTTTTGGACCCAAAACAAAAAAAACGTAACTTGCTTATTTTCTCATTTTTGTTTTTGTACTTGTTAGCCTAAATTTCTCATCACGTAGCCTCCATGAAATCTTGAATGCAGGCCTCCCTTACTGTCCTGCATTACATATAGACGCAGGTCCTAAATGAAAAGTACCTGTTCATACCAAGTTCCGTTCTTATATTATCTAATCATATACTCCATGTGTTCGACACTCATTCATCCTAGCATGCCTCAACTTATTTTTACGTGAATGAGAAGATTTCAGACATCTTGTCCTTTATATTTCGTACTTGCTTTTCGTACCCTTTCACTCTTTATTTGAATTTAACTTGAGGATCCCCCAAGAAAAGAGAAACTAGTAATGCTTGGTTCATTTTTAGCACACGTTTACATTAAGTACTCTTTGAAACTATACGTATTAACAGAAAACTTCCGTATCTTGATGGTTGCAGGAAACTTTACACAAGCACAACGGAAAAGCTAGATTAGACGATGATTCTTATGAAGCTTTGGAAGCTGCCAATGGTGGGTCTGATGCAAATGAAAAGCAAAAAACTGAAGAACAAACACCTAAAGAAAACCTCTTCAAGAATTGGCCCTTAATGTCTTCAATCATTGTTTACTGTGTTTTCTCACTTCATGACATGGCTTATACAGAGGTAACTTCTCTTAACACAGTGTGGTATAATTTGCAAAATCTTCCCTTTTCCTTTTGCTCTCTTTTACTGGAAGTTATGTACTGTGTGTTTCTTATGATTCGTTCAAAACAGATATTCTCATTATGGGCTGTGAGTCCTCGAAAGTTAGGGGGTTTGAGCTTTACAACCGAGGACGTTGGTGAAGTTCTTGCAATTTCTGGTAAACACATTATGATCTGCATAACATACCTGGGATATTTTCTTTAGGGTGGTGCTATCCATGCACCCATTTTTACCTCTCACACACCTCTCTTAATTTTTGGCTATTGGATCGTGTGAATGGAAGAAAATCAACGGACAAAAATGAACAAGAGTGTGTGTGAAGCAAAATGGGGTGTGTGAATAGCACTACCCTTGCTTTATATGCAGTCTCTGTCTGTTTCGATTTATACTACATATGCAGAATAAGGGATGATAACTTAATCAACTTGTAGGTTTTGGTCTTTTTGTCTTCCAAATTACTCTATATCCATATTTTGAAAGGCTGCTTGGTCCTGTTATGATTGCTCGTGTTGGAGGGGTAAGTTTTCCGCTCCTTCTCCCTGTGCATTATAGTACCTTCTGCATTTTAGTTCTTGCAAATAATTGTCCTTTGACCTAATTCCTGGTGAACGATATTAATTTTAATCTTCGTTAATCTTTTCACTCACGATTCGTGTGCAGATTATATCCATACCTCTGTTGTCAAGTTACCCGTTTATAGCAATGTTGTCCGGGCTCGCCCTTTCCGTGCTGTTAAACTGTGCATCTGTGGTGAAGAATGTCTTATCTGTATGTGCATCCATGACTCTAAAGCTCATTTTAACTAACACACTGTATGCACCATTGCATTACTGACGTATCATTAATTATGAGAAGCTGATATGAAATGTTTTACAAGAAACATAATCATAATACAAGCTACGAAAACAGAACTCTACTTTTATCTACTCCATCGAAATTGATAGTTTGTCAATTTTTATTTCCTTTTCTTTCGAGGGAATACTCTCTGGTACCGACGAAAGATATCGAGACGCTTCTCAATTGCTTACCATGCATTATCTTCTCTTACACGTTTTGTGCTCTAACTTCTAAATTTTTTGTGCACAATTAGATCACGATTGTAACTGGCCTGTTCATCCTTCAAAACAGAGCTGTGGTAATTTTATTCTCGAATTAACTGGTTTAAAATTTTCCTCTTCTCTGAGTCATGAGATTATTGATCTTCAAAAAAGAATGTGTCATAACTTAACTGTGATTGAACAACAGGACCAAAAACAAAGAGGCGCAGCGAATGGAATTGCGATGACGGCAATGTCTCTGTTCAAGGCAATTGGTCCAGCAGCTGGTGGTGCATTGTAAGTTTAGCTTTCCTTTACTTATAGGTGATGCTTGAATCCATATATTTGTTCCAGTAAGTACGCCAACTGGGAGCTGAAGTGATTTTTGTTATACGATGTTTCTTGTTGATACTGTTCAATTGCATAAGTTTGTGTATATCTTTTACGTACGGTTTTTTCTGCATAAGGTCCGTAGATTGCTAGTAGTATTGCACATTGTAAATCGGAGAAGGCGAGTTTACAAGCCTTACAATTAGTGTACTTTTTTCGGTGCACTTGTGTTGCATGATCTCATAGTAAAGAATTCAAAATTCTTCCTTTCCTATATTAATCATGGTTTCGTCTCAACAGGTTTTCTTGGGCACAAAAACGCCGGGATGCTGCTATCCTACCTGGTATCATACTTAACCAACTTTTCATCCTGGATTTACTGACAGCTCGCACGGTTTAGGAACATAACCGTTTCAATTTTCGATTGCAGGAAGCCAGATGATCTTCTTCATCTTGAATGTGGTTGAGGCAATCGCCGTTCTGATGACATTTAAGCCATTTCTTACTCTACATGAATAGATCGAGATCAATGTAAACAGAAATGGAATTTCATGCCGAACCTAAGGAAATAAGGAAACTCTCTCAACATAATTACGGGCAGATCATTGTATGCAATATGGTTGTTCACACTCTGTTGCAAGGATATAGCTTATTAGGAATATTAGATATGATCTTCATTATTGTAAGGGTAAAGATTCTTGGCATTGGTGTTATATGTGATCGAATAATCCTTTTCGGAAAAATTATATATAGCGATTTTGCAATTCAGTGAGATATTAAGGTTGCAATCGAGCGATTTTGAGTGTATTCGGCTTGCTCAAAGTCTTATCAATTTCGAGAGTGTACTTACATATTTTGGCCTTCTGTTGAGATTGAAGATTAAAACGATCAACATTCTTATGGTATGCAAAAAAAGACTTGAATTGCCACACAAGGAACCATTCCTGCACATGTAAACAGAAAGCAATCAAGAAGACCCGAATCGGCGTGGCACTTTATATGACTAAATTCCCCAACATTGTATTTGGTTCTTGTTTTGAACAGAAATCCGAAAACAGCTCGTCGTTTTGGTTTCGGGGTCTGAAATGTCCTGGCAATTGTGTAGGATGTATCCGGCACCAAACCTGGAGAATAAAATGAAAGAGTGGATGCGTGAGTGTATGAATCAGAAGAGCGAGGTTTGAGGGAAGAGAGAAGTAGAGGGAAAGTTGGAAAACTTGGAAATAGGATAAAATCGTGAAAGCTAGAAAGGAATTGTTTTTAAAATGAATGAAAACGTCTTTAGAGAAAAAAAATTGGATTCGAAAAGCCTTTGAAGTGCTTCTTACCAGAAGTACCAATCGTATGCTTCTTGCAGGAAGCATTTCAAATACTTTTTCAGGATTCAGTTGCATTTTAACTGGTTTCAAAAACATTTTCACAAAAAATGTGTTCATCCATTTTAAAATGCACTTCCAAACGAGTTCATGGACTCTCGGCGATAAAAAATGTGTAATCTTCTAATCCCTTTTGAGTGTTGGACTGAAACTACAACGATTATATAAACAAGTCTTGTCCAGAACCAGTTTCAAAGTAATGTACTAAATACTAAGAAATGAATGGAATGTTTAATTAATTAACAACTTAATATAGGGAGGGACACAGAGCTACCAACAAAAACTACTGAGATTGTCATCGTCCATGAATTTCTTATCGAACGTTCACGATGGTATGAACAACTTTATACGCAAACTTTACGATAACTGTTCGAAGATGCAAAATGGTTGTTGCCACCAACATCGGTTAGTTCCACATTGCTCTGGAAAGTTCAAGAGTTCTACTTGCAACCTGAGAATCCAATCTAGGTTGATTTGAGATGATTTCCTCTTAATATGAGCAATAAGGTTGAAAATTGTTTGGACTTGCCAATCTTGGCAACAAGTCGAGTATGAATTTTAAACATCTTAAATTCGTTCGTTCCCATGCATCTGTAAACGGACAAAAAAATTTAACGAGAATTTGACAAATATTAAAATATTTCAGGTATATATAATAAGATTACAGTTCGGTTATCGCCCCTATTCGTGCTCGAATCCGCTTTGTTTTCATTCTATGATATAGATTTTATATTTTACTTTCATTTTTAAGATGTCATTAGATAATAATATATTATAGTGAATTATTTAAGGCGTTCAAGTGCGACTCACTTAGTAGAATAAGGCTTTATTGTTGTTGTATAAAAGGCTATCAAGTTTTTTATGATATAAATTTTTTAAATATTGTTTACTACTTACTGTCATAACTCTTTTTTGCTCATCTTTGTGTTCTCTCTCTTAGTAAGAAAGTTTAAAACATCCGTCTTTGATTTGCTCCTTATCATTCATAAATTTAATGTCAGCTTGTTTAAAAAAAATGTAGATGAGGTGATCACGTTTTTTTACAATATGAAATTTCTTTTTGTTTACTGCATATCATTGCTCTTTTTTTATTTTTTTATTCCAAGTTTGTGATGTCATATATTTAATACCGAGTTTTTCAATTCTTATTTGTTCGCTGCACCCTAAGAAGACATGATTCCAAGCGGATACTTGGGATGTCCCCACCCTTCGAGGCCTGTCACAAAATTGTTTCAAGCACCTACAAAATCAAAAGCGCCCATTGTTTCAAAGAAAGGTGGAAATATATTTCATTTGATGGACATAGACAATTTGAAAGTTAAGCAGTGGTAAATCTAAGGATTCCTCCTTCTTCGGAACCCATAATATGTGAAAGCGTCGACGTAATTTTAGGGTGCGGCTAAAAGGGACGGCAAGGAGTATATATACTACTTAGGTCTCTCTTATATGCAATGCAAAAGTTGTTAAGTTTTATCCCCTCAGTGAAAAGAGAGAAAAGCCCTAAAATAAAAACACATTGTGTGTCGTCCATCCTACATTGATCTACATGAGAGATATTGCTAACGCCTCAAATCAATCATTCCATTATCCATTGCTAGTTTTATCAGTGTGGATACGCCTAGAGGCTCAACACTTGGGGAGCATTGCGTGATCAATCATGAAGATGAAGATTGCAAGCATGGGGATGATCCAATCAAGCAGCATGCACGTGGCCCTTCTTTATTTGTTGTTTTATCAAATACAACCAACCAAATATATAATTGGGATAACATATTGTATGTTATTTATTTTTTTGCTATGTATTTAATTATTCAAATTAAATTAATCTCAATAATATGCCTGGAAACCTAACACTACCTCTATTAGAGAATATGATACACCTATCAAAATATAGTGTACTTAGCGTTTTTTGTCACATTAGTAGAGCCTAGTGCCCACCTTTTTTGTTATAAAGTATAGCCTACCAATACAAGTAGTGCCCACATTTTTTTATAACAACTTACATGACACGAGTACAGCTTCACGAGAAGTCTCATGCCAGTAAAATAAGAACGCGTTTTTGTTTCATTCGTGGGCGACACTATACACTCGTGCTAGTAAATCATTTTCTTATAGATATACCACGTTTCCTAAAATATGGTATATCTAGGACTTTTCATGTCACTTTAGGGTTTTTTTTTTTCCTTTCTCAATCACATATTAGAGAAAAACTTGAATTTGTCCATTACATAGTGAGTGAGTTTGGCGTTTATTAGTAAATGATTGACCTAATTGTAAAGCAAATATATGGGAATTGCTATTGAAACTCCAAAAATCTCATTTTGCACCCCAAACTTTTTATAATTAGAAAAAAAAATACACTTATAAGGAATATAAAATAAGATTTTTGAATTGTTGGGACTCTTCACATTTGGAGCCCGGTGTAATTCACTTTTCGGTCCCCCTCCCCCAAAGCTGACCATGTTTTTTTGTAAATGTACTACAAAAGTTGTTTTCATGTAGAAAAGAAAAATACTTAGGTACTCACTTTTTTGATGTGGCTCAATCAAAAGATACCACTCTTTATTTTCTAAAGCCGAAGAAAAAATCAATTAAAGTAACGCTAAGGAGATTAAATTTTAAAACAAAATTTTGTAAACCAAATGATGTGGTTGTTGATGATTGGATTACTACTTAAGTGTTGATTAATGTGTTTATTTCCTATTGGTGACACATTCATTAGTATACAAATTTGGTTTAAAAGTGTGATTTACTTAGTATTACTCAGTTAATTAACATGTCTATTATTTTTCCCAATAAAATATATATTAAAATATCATTGGAACAAAATTAAAAAGTCAGCATATAAGATCCAATGAACCTGCAAATTTCCAATCTAAGAAATAAAATATCAGTTGTAGATATATCAGAATAAAATACTAATAATTGTGTCAATTGTTGTTATTGATACGACAAGGAAAGAAAGCAAAACACAATTAGGATTGTAATTAGCGGAGTAGGAACTGTTGTTGGACTGAGCTTTGTTGATGACGTGGCGAAATTCAACCCTCTTCCCAAATATGGAACTGTTACTAGAACTTCAAAAATATTATTTGACACTCCTTACGAGTGTATTTTTCTTTCTAATTATAAAAAGTTTGGAGTGCAAAATGAAATTTTTGAAGTTTCAATATCAATTCCCTAAATATATATGGCAAAAATTGTTGGGACTCTTCACATTTGGAAGCCGGTGTAATTCACTTAGGTACTCACTTTTTTTATTTGGCTCAATTAAAAAATACCATGTGCTTTTTATTTTCTAAAGCCGACGGTAACGCCAAGAAGACTGAATGTATTGTATTGTAACTTTAAAATGTTACACTTTAAAAAAGTTTTTTTATTAACACTTTAAAATCTCATTGTATTGTAACTTTTTTCTTTCCAAATATAAACATTTGAAGTGCACAATGAGCTATTTAGAATATCAATAACAACATCCTAAAAATGATTTTTCTTTTCAGTTTTATTACATAATAATGCTAGATATTCAAGTGAAATTTTAAATTTATAGTTTTTGAAGCTTTTTTTCCTTATATTTGGTTGTTTAAGATTGAAGTGTTTTTTATTATTTAGTGGAGGTTATGTTGTAGCTCTTTTTACTTATTATTTAATGAAATTTGTAAACTTACAATCAGTGAGTTCTAAAGTTTGTTTTGATTAAACTATTACTTGCAAGCATTAATACAATGTCTTACTCTTTTTTGGAAAACTATTTTAAGGAGTGACCTTTTACAAATTTGACATAGGCTTCCAAAATTTCTAAGATACTTTGACAAAAAGGAAACAACTTTTACAGTATATTGACAAAAAAATAACAACTTTCGTACGTACAAGACCTACAGGTACACTTTCATGTGGCTTCTCATGACAATAAAATAATAATATAAGAAGAAAAAAAACTTATGCATCTCTTTATTAAAGGAGCTCTAATGAAAAGGGTTTGGGCCAATAAATTTTAATCAAAAATCATCCTAAAATGTTATTTAATCAAAATGGCTCAAAGTTTAATAAACAAATCATCCAAAACTATTGTCCAATGGTCAAACTTACAAGCTCAACCCGCTACAAATCTACACTTTCATAAATACCCATAAATGATTCGATATCGTCCTGACTCTTCACCAACCTCAACCCAACACGAAACCGCCATAATAACTCCCTGTCTTCTTATCAAATCAAATTCCCCCATTTCAAAAACAACCAAATCAAAGTTCAAATCAAAGTTGGAAAAGGAAGCATTAATCGGAACAAAGTCGTCGAAATAAATACCCCTAAATGATTCGATATCGTCCTGACTCTTCACCAACCTCAACCCAGCACGAAACCGCCATAATAACTCCCTGTCTTCTTATCAAATCGAATTCCCCCATTTCAAAAACAACCAAATCAAAGTTCAGATCAAAGTTGAAAAATTAAGCATTCATCGTAACAAAGTTGCCGAAATAAGTTCAAAGAAGTTTAATGGCAGAAACCGGCGAAAAAGTGTCTGAAAAAAAAAAAACCAAAACATAAAATTGTTTCTGGAGAACCCAAAACATAACATTGTTTCTGGAAAAAAAAAAAATCAGATACAATGTTTGTTTTATCTGTGCACAAACAAACACTATATCTGGAAAGAAAAGAACCAAAATCCAGAAACAATGACTTAAATTCCAGAAACATTGACTTAAATTTAAAAAACAGTGACTCAAATTCCAGAAACAGTCTATGTTTTAACTAGGGGTGGGTTCGGTTTAAATCGGTTCGGTTTTTTGCCAAAACCGAAACCAAACCAAAATTTCAGTTCGGTTCGGTTCGGTTCAATTTTTTTTCGGTTTTTTTCGGTTCGGTTTCAGTTTTTTGTTTTTATTTTTTTTCAAAAAATGAAAAACATTGAAATTTTAAATTTTAACATATCCATCATAATATAAACATTCTAACTAGAATCAAAGACAATGAAAATAAACATTTAAAGTTGAACTAAAATCATCAATCAAGTCTTTCAAAGTCCAAACTAACAACCTCACAACACAAAAATCACACAAAAATCGTACAAATGACTTAGAAAAGTTAAATTATATGATGTTGTTCAAAGATCAGTGTTGTTTGCTTGTAACTGCATGTTGACAACTTGATTAGTAAAGGTAATGCGTGGGTGGATTTATTTAGTGTGTGTTGGATTCTTTTCCATCACAAATTACCCAAGTAATCTACTCGGAATAAATGTTTATGGATTATGTTACATGTTATATGAGAGTAGATTTGGAAAAGAAAGCTGGCGCAGAAGTAGACAGTGCTATGGAGATGGATGTTGGTACTTCGGGAAGAAGTTTGGTTCCGGAACCTTATATGGGGGAGAAATAATAGGTTAGGGTTTAGAGTTTTTATAGGCCTTTTTTTAATATTTTGAGCTTAAAGTTTGGCAACACATTGGGTTAGCACATTTTAACTTACAAATTGGGTTTAGAAAATAATACCCAAAACAAATAATTAAATAAAAAAATTAATTTAATTAATTCGGTTCGGTTTGGTTTGGTTCGGTTTCTAGATCACTAAAACCGAACCGAACCGAAAGAATTCGGTTCGGTTCGGTTTTTTCGGTTTCGGTTCGGTTTGGTTTTAGGTTTTTTTCGGTTTTCGGTTTTTTGAACCCACCCCTAGTTTTAACCTTTGACTGTTTCTTTTCTTTCATGCATCAATTGATTATATTTAAGAAACATGGTGCTTATTTTGCTTTGAATTCAAATACAGTGAATTTAACTATTTCTTTTTTAGCTTACATTTAAGAAATCGTGTGTCTATTTCATTTGGATCCATAAACAATGACTTAGATTTTAGAAACAGTAACTTAGATTCCAGAAATAATGTTACTTAAAATCCAGAAGCAATTTATTTTTACAGTCCAGAAACAGCGACCCGTTGTTATTATTGAATAGCTTGCATATCTCAAATTTATTTTATGGAGAAACAAATGATGAACTCCACTGACGAAGAAAAATTGAAAAACAGTACATCGAATACACTATGAATAATAACGACAATCACATTTCAACAAAATAATACAAAATATAAATTAAATAGTATGAGGATCTATATTTTTGTTTCAAAGAAAAAGAAGAAGGTCTGTAAAACAATGATGAACTCCATTAACGACGAAAATCTGGAACTCAACCTAAAAAATTTAAGGATAAAATCGATAAATCATAATTTATTATAGTTGAACCATTTTTAGTTGGACTACTTTAATATAAGTCTTGTACTAATCATTAAACAAACTTATAATATTATTTTTTTATTAAAACTAAAATTTTTCAAACATTTTTCATTAGTTTCGTTTTTATTAATTCATTGACATGACAGGCCAATAATTGCGGGTATACATGTGTTCTCCTGTTGACGCTTGCAATGATGTCAATTGCAAACCAAGCAGCCAACCCCGACTCAAAACATGATTAGCAATCCATGATATTTTTTCACTTTTCATCTTAATATTAATTCTGACGTATACGAAGACAAAAAGTTTTACGTCTCCTCCTACTCCTCCTCAGTCAGCTTCTAACAGAATCAAACAGATTCAGAGAGCCAATTTTCTGGGCTTCGGGTTCGAAGCGATTGATCGTTCGAACCATGGCTGAGGAGTGCAGAGAGACGCTGCTGAAGAAGGTTTACTATGACGAGTGTCCCGGCTGTGTAGTGGAACAGCGTAAAGAGCTGCAGAGAGGTCTTCCTATTAAAATGCTTGTTTCTATATGGCTTATTGCTCTTTCATCTGGTAAGAAAAAAAAATTTCCCTTCTGATTTTATTTATCTGTTGGAGCGGAAAAATTTGGATACTAATTCTCCATCAACAAGTAATCTTGAACTTATTGAGAAGGTTTAGACACCATCTTCGCTTGCCATCGATGAGGGAGGAAGGGGACCTGCAAAAAATAACTCTAAAGCTCAACTTAGTATTTGTTTAGAATGCCTCTAAAATATAGAACGATCTCAAACCTCTATCTTCAACCCATGCTGGTGTGATTATTGGCCTTTTGTAGGCATAAAATGTTTGGCCTCCAAGTCCTACTCTCCTTCTATTTTTCCATGTTCTATGGGTATTAGGTTGCTTCATTGTAGCTACACTCCCCATTTTTGGCGTGCTAGTGACTTGTTTAGTAGAGGAGTAATTTTTTTAAATGGTTTAACCCTGATCTAATCGTTTTGCAGCGCTGCCAGTATCATCTCTCTTTCCATTCCTTTATTTCATGGTGGGTGCATACTTATTAATACTGTTGTTACTTGTATTTCTAAAATTTTATAAAAAAATTCAACCTTCAAAACCCGTTGAAGTAGATTTGGTATCTCAGGATTCCAAATTATTGTTTTGCAGATCAGGGATTTGCATATTGCTAAAAGAGAGGAAGACATTGGCTACTATGCTGGATATGTAGGTGAGTTGATGATCGTCACTACTTAACTTTCATATTCTTCACCATTTCGTTCCTTTAAGAACTTCCGTACATTGTGAAGGGGCTTCATTTATGCTTGGCAGAGTTCTGACATCAATTTTGTGGGGAATGGTGGCGGATCGCTATGGTCGGAAGCCTGTCATAATTATAGGGACTGTTGCAGTGTTAGTAACTTCTATTCTGCAATTGAGTTTCATTTTGATTATTTGGCAATTAACACTGGCTGTTTTCTTCAACACTTTTCTCTGCGTATTTACAAATTATTTTTACCATTTACTGGCTCAGGGTTATTTTCAACACTTTATTTGGACTCAGTGTAAACTATTGGATGGCTATTTGTACACGGTTTCTTCTTGGAAGTTTGAATGGTTCGCTTGGGCCGATTAAGGTACTACATCGTGTCATGTACGATTATTAATGATGTCATTGCACCTGTACAACCACGTATGTAATGTCCCCGTTACTTAGAATATATGATTTAACTGCATGACCAGGCATACGCATGTGAAGCCTTCCGAGAAGAACACCAAGCTTTAAGCATGTCAACAGTAAGCCACATTGGCCTCTGGGTTCTGCAGCTTCTTTTAATAAATGTTCTACATCATCAACATTGAGAGTTATCATCTTTTTTATCAGGTTAGTGTAGCCCGGGGTATCGGATTGATCATTGGCCCAGCTTTGGGAGGTTTCTTGGCCCAGGTAATTCTACCTCGTGTACTTTCACGCTAGGAACCACACTTCAGAAAATCCCTTAGTGTGCGTGTATTTTGTCGTGCTAATTGTTTAGCAAGACCATTCAATGAAACTTTTTGTGACTCCATATGTGTCAAATGATGGAAGAGGTGTATCGTTGATGTGCCTTTACCTAGACAACTTAATTTCTTTAATCCTCTAAAAAGAACAACAATAACTAGCTCCATTCCAAATATGATACTTCGGAAAAGTCAGAGAATGTTTCAATGCATGTTCTTTTGTAGAACTAGATATGTTTAACACTACATGTTCGACAGTCATTATACAACCACATACATGAATAATTCACGAAAGCTGCAACTTGCTGCAGAAAAAATCATGGGAAGCGCATGTGGTATCACTAACACATGGGAATTAATTTTAAGGCTGAAAGCAAGCGTGAGGTGTCCCAGTCGGTTCTGAATTAGTACAGGGGTTAGAGTGTGAGAACGTTGGTTTTAGAAGGAATAGGTTAAATAGAGCAAATAATGGCTCACTGTCGAGTACGCTTCGTGAAAATTATGGGGTAGCAGATGATTTTAGTATTTCAAGGCTGTTTCCTGCGAGTTTAAGGTTGTGGGATACTAAAACGATCTTATTGCAGCGCTAGCATGTCTGTATAATATGATGACTATTCAGAGCTATTGGACACTAAAGAAGAAACTATTCTATTCTTTGTTATTTTTTCCTGGTTGATCTCTCTCTCTCTCTCTCTCTCTCTCTCACTTAGCGTCTTGTCTTCTAGATTATTAATGTGATGTACCTAACAATATGCAGCCAGCAGACAAATATCCAAGTATATTTTCCCAAAACTCGATATTTGGGAGGTAAGTTTGGCTACTTATTAAGTACACTGCAATGGATTGTCAAATTTCTGAAGTTTTTGTGTTATTTATTTGTTGCAGTATGATGTTCCATATATAATGTGAAATATTTGTGCAGGTTTCCGTATTTCTTGCCTTGCCTATGTATATCGGCTTTAGCGTTTGGAGTAACCATTATTTCTTTCTGGCTTCCGGTACATATCTTAGTATATATTCCTTTATGCTGATAAATCTCTTTTATTTTTTCCTCATTGCTGTTTTTGGCCTCTTATAATTTTTTTCTCAATTTTCTCAATAGATGCCTCCATGAAATCTTGAATGCAGGCCTCCCTTACTGTCCTGCATTACATATAGACGCAGTTCCTAAATGAAAAGTACCTGTTAATACCAAGTTCCATTCTTATATTATATTATCTAATCATATACTCCGTGCGTTCTATACTCATTCATCCTAGCACGCCTTAACTTATTTATACGTGAATGAGAAGATTTCAGACATCTTGTCTTTCACTCTTTATTTGAATATAACTTCTTGACAATCTCCCAAGAAGAGAGAAACTAGTAATGCTTGGTTCATCTTTAGCACATGTTTACATTAAGTACTCTTTGAAACTATACGCATTAACAGAAAATTTCCGTATTTTGGTGGTTGCAGGAAACTTTACACCAGCACAACGGAAAAGCTAGATTACACGATGATTCTTATGAAGCTTTGGAAACTGCATCTGGTGGGTCTGATGCAAATGAAAAGCAAAAAACTGAAGAACAAACACCTAAAGAAAACCTTTTCAAGAATTGGCCCTTAATGTCTTCAATCATTGTTTATTGTGTTTTCTCACTTCATGACATGGCTTATGCAGAGGTAACTTCCGTGCGTTTTTTCATTTTAACACGGTATAGTACAATTTTCCGCATCTTCCCTTTTCCTTTTCCTCTCTTTTACTTGAAGTGATATACTATGTGTTTCTTATGATTCATTTAAAACAGATATTCTCATTATGGGCCGTGAGTCCTCGGAAGTTTGGGGGTTTGAGCTTTACAACTGAGGACGTTGGTGAAGTTCTTGCAATTTCTGGTAACACTTGATATTTCCACATGTTCCTAAAGCACATTATGATATGCATAACATATCTGGGATATTTGCTTTATATGCGGTCTCTGCTTGTTTCGATATGTGACTAACTACATATACAGAACAATGGCTGACAACTTAATCAACTTGTAGGTTTTAGTCTTTTTGTCTTCCAAATTACTCTATATCCATATGTTGAAAGGCTTCTTGGTCCTGTTATGATTGCTCGCGTTGGAGGGGTAAGTTTTCCGCTCCTGTTCCCTGTGCAGTATACTACCTTCCGCACTTTAGTTCTTTTTGCAAATAATTGTCCTTTGACCTAATTCCTGGTGACTGATATTAATTATAGGGGTGTGATATCCACACACTCCTTTTTACTTCTCCCACACCTTTTTAGTTTTCGGCCGTCGATCAGATGAATTGAAGAAGATCAACGGACATAAATTAACAAGGGGTGTGTGGACAGCACACCCCAAATTTTTATCTTCATGGTTTTTTCATTCGCGTGCAGATTATATCCATACCCCTGTTGTCAAGTTACCCGTTTATAGCAATGTTGTCCGGGCTCTCACTTTTCGTGCTGTTAAACTGTGCATCTGTGCTGAAGAATGTCATATCTGTATGTGCATCCATCCATAATTTTGGAGCTCATTTTAATTAATACACTGTATGCATCATTGCATGAATGCCCCTCATTTAGTGTATTAATCATAATACGAGCTACGAAAGCAAAACTCTACTTTTATCTACTCCATAGAAATTGATATATAGTTTGTCAATTTTTATGTACTTTTCTTTCGGGGGAATACTCGCTGGTACCGACAAAAGATATCAAAAGGCTTCCAATTGCTTACAATTATCTTCTCTTGTACGTGTTGTGCTCTAACTTTTAAATTTTTTGTGTACAATTAGATCACGATTATAACCGGCATGTTCATCCTTCAAAACAGAGCGGTGGTAATTTTCTTCTCGAATTAACTGGTTTAAAATTCTCCCCTCGTCTCAAGTCATGAGATTATTGATCTTCAATAGAAAATGTGTCGTGACTTGGCCGTGATTAAACAACAGGACCAAAAACAAAGAGGCGCAGCTAATGGACTTTCTATGACAGCAATGTCACTGTTCAAGGCAATTGCTCCAGCTGCTGGTGGTGCATTGTAAGTTTAGCTTTCTTTTACTTATGGGCGATGCTTAAATCCATATATTCGTTCTAGTAAGTACGCCAACTGGGAGTTGACGTGATGTTGTTATACGATGTTTCTTGTTGATACTGTTCAATAGTATACTTGTTTTTCGGTGAAGGCGAGTTTACAAGCCTTACACTTTACCAATGATATGAAATTTGTATTGCATGATCTCATCGTAAAGAATTCAAAAATCTTCCTTTCTTATGTTAATCATGATTTCGTCTCAACAGGTTTTCTTGGGCACAAAAACGTCGGGATGCTGCCCTCCTACCTGGTATCGTACTTGACCAACTTTTCATCGTGGATTTACTGACAGCTCGCATGGTTTAGAAACATAACCGCTTCAATTTTCGATTGCAGGAAGCCAGATGATATTCTTCATCTTGAATGTGGTCGAGGCAATTGCAGTTCTGATGACATTTAAGCCGTTTCTCACTCTACGTGAATAGATCGTGATCAACGTAAACGGAAGTTCATGTCGAAGTCTAAGGACATTTAAGCCGTTTCTGATGACATTTACGCTTTCAGTAAATCGTGCAGGAGTCTTATCACGTCGAGAGTAATTTGAAGTGGATTTACTGCCCCTCGATATGCTTCCGCTTTCGAAGATTCATTAGTTGCGGAGACGAAAAAAGCATTTGGTTTCCAAGTGGAGACATTTGCCTTAAGGTTAGCACTGTTGTCTGGTATCATACAGTTGGGTAGGGGGTCGATGCTGCAATAGGTCTCACCTCTATATTAGAATTGTTATTAGCACTCCAAAAAAATTATTTGGCACTCCAAACTTTCTATAATTAGAAAGAAAAATGCACTCGTGAAGAGTGTAGAATGAAATTTTTGAAGTGTTAATCATAGTTCCCAATTAGCAATTTAGAAAGGCAGCACAAATATGGTTTCACAAAATTATTCCTAGCATTTTCCTCATAGTAAACTTTCCCGAAATTGGATGCCAGGAATGCAATTTGTTGACGGGTAAAACTGGTCAGTCAACTAAGATCATCTTTATGAGAGATGTCAAAAAGTTCACGTTAACAACAACAGTAAGAAAGACAATATTAATTTTTCTTACTGAACAAATTCTTATGTGACATGACGTGGATCGACAATAAAGGAGGTTGCTGTAAAATTTGATAGCAACTCCAAATTTATTTTTAAATGATTAATAAATGTTTTATTTTTTTATCATTTTTTATTGTTTTTTGTTCTAAAAGTATTTATTACAATTATGAAAAATTTAATTTAGTGAGATTGCCTAAAACGACCCATTCCCTTAATCTTAGAATTGAATAGGACAAACCAAATATAGACATGGTACGCACATGCCATCCACATCAATAGGACAAAAATAAGATTTTTCTAAAACGTACAATTACCTAATTATGCTCTCATATAAAGGGATTACTCAAAAATTTCAACCATCATTTTTTATTTTGTAGAGAGAAAGGGAGAGGAGAAAGAGAGAGAGAGAGAGAGATGAAGACGGGGAGTCGCTGGACGGCTGGAGGCTTGTGAGAAGTGGTGATATTCTGCTTGGAGTGGGTGGTGCTCACACTCGCCTTCATCTTGAGGTACTATGCCTGGTGGTGGTGGTGCTGCTGCTATGAGGTGCTCCAAGGTGCAACAAGCAGCTGACGAGGATTTGAAGGACCAGCCATAGCCTTTCCAAGTCTAACATGGAACATCCAACATACATCGATTCGATTCCTAGAACATCAAACATACCCCGCAGCCATGGCCTCCCTATTTGCTTCCACCACTAGAACAATCTCTCTCTCTCTCTCTCTCTCTCTCTCTCTCTCTCTCGTTTCTATTACTTTTCTTAGCGCATCCTATTGATGCAATGGATCATTTTTTGAAATTCGAGTGTCGCGGGCAGATTAGAGCTTTCAATTTTTTTAATTTGAGATTTTTGTTTTCACTGTAAGAAATTAGGGTTCTTGATGCAATATTTAGAACGTGTATCGGTTTTGTTGTAGACATATATCGTGCAATAAATGGCGTTGAGAGATATGTGGGGCTAGATTTTATAAATACGTAAGGATTTGTAATTTGTCGTTTACAAATCTTTGACCTAACTCTAAATTCTGGAAATCCCATTAAAATCATTTGTTTCTAATGATATGGACACGATATGCACATAATATGCTCATAAATCTGAAAACCCAGAGCTCACAATTCTTTCTTCAAAATAAAAAAAACATGACGACATCACTTGTGAAATTGTATTTTTTTTTTAAACAAATGATATTATCTACACTAAGCGAACGGAGATTAGGCTTAGCTTTTACATTTTATATGTGGGTATTTTCGTCATTTCGTTTTTGTGAATGTTGTGTGCATGGCAGCTTGTCCTATTTCAGTCATAAGATTAAGAAAATGAGTAATTTTTAGCAATTTCTCTGTAATTTAACATATTAGATGAATGATAAAACCTTCAAAGATTAAAGTGTCACATAAGCTTTTAAATTTAAATTTTATGTTTAAAATTTGACATTTTATTTAAAAATGCGGTTAGAACATAATAAGTCAAATTCAAACATTTAATGTGAAACAAAATACATATTAGCCATAATATTGTATTAATTTGAATCTTAACAACTTAAAATATTTCACCTCCAGACATAACCAAAATACGTTTTAATTATAGAGTAATGCTAGGAGACTAAATTTTGGAAATTAAAAAACATATAAATTGATGATTGATTTATTATTAAGTGTTGATAGGCGTACTCATTTTTATTGGTAACCTATTATTTAATTTATAATTTTAATTCTTAGCATTACTGTAACCTATTTTTTGTCACCTCTGCCGTCTTTCGTACTCTCACCATCCACCTTGAAATCATAAACACACACGAGTCATGACAAACACATTCTCTCTCCGGAATCAGATCTACCCACAGGCCCTCTCTCTCCCCTTCTTCCTGCAATGGAAATTAACTGATTACTTCCCCCAAATTGAAACCCTATTTCTCCATCCAAAACCCTAATATTCCAACCCTCAATCATCAATGGAGCAGCTCAAGACCATCGGCCGGGAACTCGCTATGGGCTCCCAGGGCGGCTTCGGCCAATCCAAGGAGTTCCTCGACCTCGTCAAGTCCATCGGCGAAGCTCGATCTAAGGCGGAGGAGGAGCGCATCGTCCTCCTCGAGATCGAAACCCTTAAACGACGTCTCTCCGAGCCCGAAATCCCCAAGCGCAAGATGAAGGAGTACATCGTCCGCCTCGTCTACGTTGAAATGCTCGGCCACGACGGCTCCTTCGCCTACATTCACGCCGTTAAGATGACTCACGACGATAACCTCCTCCTCAAGCGCACCGGTTACCTCGCCGTTTCCCTCTTCCTCAGTGACGATCACGATTTGATCATCTTGATCGTCAACACCATCCAGAAGGATCTCAGGTCTGACAATTACCTCGTCGTTTGCGCCGCCCTCAATGCCGTTTGCAAGCTCATCAACGACGAGACTGTGCCTGCCGTTTTGCCCCAGGTCGTCGACCTCCTCGCCCATCCCAAGGAGGCTGTCAGGAAGAAAGCCATCATGGCGCTTCACCGGTTTTATCAGAAATCGCCCTCCTCTGTTTCGCATCTAGTGTCGAGTTTTCGGAAGCGGCTTTGCGATAACGATCCGGGCGTCATGGGTGCCACGCTCTGGCCGCTGTTTGATCTCATTACCATCGATGTGAATTCTTATAAGGATTTGGTGGTCAGCTTTGTCAGCATTCTCAAGCAGGTCGCCGAGCGCAGGTTGCCTAAGGCCTACGATTACCATCAGCTTCCGGCGCCCTTTATTCAGGTTTTACTTACTATGATTGGAGCTGAGCTACTTTGTGTGTGAATTTATCTTTTTTGGTATGACAAAGTAATTGAAATGATAGCTCTCCTAAGTGTAAAGCGATGTAATTTAGTGATTGAATTTGACAATGCAGATTAGGTTGTTGAAGATTTTGGCATTGTTGGGGAGTGGTGATAAGCAATCAAGTGAGAGCATGTATATGGTAGTCGGCGATATATTTCGGAAGAGCGAATCCACAAGTAATATTGGAAATGCTGTTCTTTACGAGTGCATTTGTTGCGTTTCTTCCATATATCCTAATCCTAAGTTGTTAGAACAGGCTGCTCAAGTCATCTCAAGATTTTTGAAGGTTTCAACTTTTTGATCTTTTTTTTTCAGTGTAATTTTGTGCGAATTATGGTCTACATCTAGATGTTTAAGAGGGTTAAACGCCAATTCATGTTAGTTATTTCGTGGACAGAGTGACAGTCACAATTTGAAATATATGGGCATTGATGCCCTTGGTCGACTGATAAAGATTAGTCCAGAGATTGCCGAGCAACACCAACTAGCCGTCATTGATTGCTTAGAGGTACGAGATTCTCATTTAGTTTTAGGTATTCTGTTTTAGAGTTGTGCTTGTAACTTTTTAAGTTAAGTGAAGTTTGATGTGCATAATGCAGGACCCAGATGATACTCTGAAGCGAAAAACGTTTGAATTATTGTACAAGATGACCAAGTCCTCCAATGTGGAAGTAATTGTGGATCGTATGATTGATTACATGATTAGCATTAATGACAACCATTACAAAGCATACATAGCTTCTAGATGTGTGGAGCTTGCAGAGCAATTTGCACCAAGTAATCAATGGTTTATCCAGGTAAGTGTAATACATGCTGTAATTAAATTCTAGTTCTATTAGGGAGCAATTTTGTTAATGCTTATTGAACATCCAATGTCGTTGTCTGATATGTTTTCACTGCAGACCATGAATAAAGTCTTCGAACATGCCGGGGATCTAGTGAATGTTAAGGTGGCACATAACTTGATGAAGTTGATTGCCGAGGGATTTGGAGAGGATGATGATACTGCAGATAGTCAGTTGAGATCATCTGCGGTATGTAACTTTGATTTTGCACTTATGTTTATAACTGTTTCATTCAATATTAATGAAAATACGCCCTCCTATAGTTTTATTTGATCTCAAAGGTTCCCATTAAACTCTGTCCCTTTAATTGTAGATTCCTCAAATAGTCCCATAAATTACTCAGACCATCTACAATTGATGGGAAAGCATGGACACATCATTTTAGAAGGATGCGTTGTTAATTCAGAAAATTTGATACATCAACCCACAAGGGCCATGTGTTCTAATTTGCATAAAATTATGTAACTTACCCTCAAGCTTCCGTCTCTTTTTTCTCTCATTTCTCCATTATTTTATAATCTTCATCTGTCTCCACCACACTACCACCACACTACCACCACCTCCTTGTCTACCACTGAACTGATAAGGGGAAATAATGTGAAATTAGTGTATACCAACACCAAATTATGTTCAGGGGCAATGTGGAACACAACCTGCAATTCAGGGGCATTAGCTAACTTTCTCGTATAATGTATATTGTAGCCAACAATAGGCAACCTGATTTTTGTTGCCAAAGAGTTTGTTCTTTGAACTATGTTGTAGTTATTACGTAGAGCGATGGTGGGTTGTTTTACAAAACCACCACTGGACCTATGTATTTTTTTATTCTGACCTTTTTCACCCGTCTGATGCATATCTCCTGTTTTTTTAAGGCCGCAGAGGTAGATATTTCTTTGAGATTTACTTTACCTCATTGGGAAAGAAGCATTACTTGTTACTGCCTTGTTCATTGATTGGGATGAATTTTTTTGGGGTTGCTAAATCACTAAGTTTTCATTTGTTTGCCATTAGTTCAACAGTCCCCATTAAACTCAGCAGAGAAGATATTTTGCTGCAGTCACCTTTTTTCTTCACCTTATATAGCTTTAAAACATTTGAAAATTATATCAAAGTAGCATGTTTACAATATTTGTGCATTGCTTGCTTCTGCACTCTGTCATCCACCAGTTCCTTTATTTTTCACTTATTGTGTATGGTAAAGAAAAAAACTTCTTTGTGTTTAGGTGGAGTCATATTTACGCATAATTGGTGAGCCAAAGCTTCCATCTGTATTTCTTCAGGTACATTAACTCCTCTGTACTTTTTCTCTTCTTTTATGTTAATTTTTTAGAAAGAATTTTCCTGTCGATGTCTTAATTTTAGTTGATCTCAGGTTATTTGTTGGGTTTTGGGGGGAATATGGAACTGCTGATGGAAAATATTCTGCTTCCTATATCACTGGGAAGTTATGTGATGTTGCAGAGTCATATTCAAACGACGAATCCGTCAAGGTATTCTTCGAAGTCAGATTTTCGTAACTAGAGTTTGCATCATCTGAATTTGTATTTTAGTTTGAATGGAAGGGATTTCCATGCTTCTTAAATTTGGATATTAAGTCATGGTACAAAATATTTAAGATGCATATTAGACTATGACTCCATTTCATTTCCTTTTGCAAAAAAATATATTTTTAAATTGTTCAGAATAAGTTATACATGGCAGCAAGCTGCTGACATCTACGAAACTGAATGATTTCGTAATTCAATAACTATTTCCATGTGAACATTAACTTGCTTTGAGTTTTAGTTAGTTTTCTATGACAGATCTGTGAGCCATCTTCTGCTTATGATTTTGAATTTTATTTTTCTACTGCCTTTTGGTAATACTATCCAATTCCTAATTGTTCAATGACTGCATATTTTGAGTTTTGGTTTCCATTTGGTAACCGGATGATGATTCTATAGTTTTTCACTTGGCTGGGGAAGCAAAATGCTCAGTGAGATGAATTAGTTATTGATTTAAACTTGGACATACTATTGGCGCTTTAAAGTGGCATATGGGATATGCTGGCTTCCTTTATCAAAAACCATTGAACCTCAACTTTGTAGTCTTTCATGTTAAGTTTGTATGTTTAGCATGTGCATGAAGTACAAACATCTGCTTATGTTCTTGTGTCTTTCCTCAGTGGCTTAGGCATTTTGATTCTATGATTATAAATATCATACCAGAGCTCATCAGACAAGTACTAGATGCGGACTCTCAACGCGATTCTGTTTTCTTTGATTTCTCTCAAACTAAAATATTTATTTAAGAAAAAGCCA